ATGCGTTATATGTTCAGCACACGCGTGCCACCGCGTTATGCGGTATATGCTTCGTGGCCGTGCGTATATGTATCGCCGCGTGCGTGTATGCGTATATGTTCGTCCCTGTGTGCGGCGATATTCGTAGAGATTAGGTGGGTGCGAAAGTGTAGCTGATATATTTGTTCGAATTGGCTACGAAAGTCAAACAAGAATAAAGAAGACTAGTAGAACGTAGTGTACGTAGTGTAAAGAAGAATGTATAAGACGTCTTGCTATGCACAAATGAATTTATCAGCAGAACACCAGACACCAGATGAGTCCTGTCGCACTGCAGCACTTGTTTGCAATCATTATATTATTGAAACGTTGTTATTGTTGAAAAGTCCCCGTGCGGTATGACGCCACAAATATGTTGGCCTCATTTGTTGAGTGCAATTAGACATAGACGTGTGCCAGTATTTTTAAAGTGACAAAGTTTTTGTCCTGTAATCCTTTGGTGTATTTTGTTGTGGGTGGGTGGGTGGATGGATGGATGAATGGCTGGAGCGATGGATGGATGGATGGACAAACGAATGGATGGAAGGCTGTATGGGTGTGTCGGTGGGTGGATTAATTAATGGATGGTTGGATGGAAGAATCGATAGATGGATGGATGGATGGATGGATGGATGGATGGACGGATGGACGGACAGACGAACGACGGATGGATGAATAGGTGGGTGTGTGTATGGAGTACACAGATTTATGGATGAATAGATGAACAGATAGATAGATTGCACTTTGGGTTAGGACAAAATGTAGGAGTAGGAACAATGTTCAGGCAAGGCATATGACTCTTGACCTTTTGCACTTGCAGGCAAACATCTCACTCCTCAGGAGTTCCATGTGGCCTTAGAACAGAAGTCCACGGTTCCAGATTCTGATGGTCGAGACTATGTCTTGGTAGACTGTAGAAACTTCTACGAAAGCAGAATCGTAGGTGCAGCTAACCCCTAGTTAGTAAGACTGATTTGTAAAGCCTGTAATGACCAGCGATTGACATAATGATATGGAATAACTTGCATGATGCAAACAATCCAAATTTGTTTGGTTCGAAGTGATTACTATTGCATGCGCGGTTTATTAACTGCATTACCTCATTTATAGACTCATATTGCTTTGTTAGCAGCGTTATTAAAAATCGTGTTTGTGATGTAGGGAAAATTTAAACATGCTGTAACACCGGACATACGCAAGTTCAGCTACTGGCCAGAGTATGTGGACAAAAATCTAGATATGTTCAGCGGCAAAGATGTGTACATGTACTGCACAGGTGGGATCCGATGTGAACGTGGCTCTGCCTACCTCAAGCAGAAGGTAGGTGCATTTCCTTGGATTCTGAGTTTCCATTCTTATTACCTAGGTAGTGGTCCCTTCAGGTGTACTGTTAAGGGGAGTGGTTTCATTATAAGCAACTGAGGTTAGCAAACAGGGGGCCATTGTCAGAAACATCGTAAAGTTAATGCTAATGTTAATGCCAAGATAGCACTTACGACTAAGGTTAATGTGACGAGAATAGCGTTGACAAAAACGCATCGCAGCTATGAGAAAACTTACAACAACAGGAACTTGAAAATTTGATGTCACAAGGCTGTTGATTGGATGAGAATCGATCACAGACTGTTATTACCTACATACATGATGCAACAAGGCCCCAATACATTTCCGGTTCTCGTGAACCTCTAAAAGAATAATGTGTGTGCGTGTATATATGTGTGTATTACTAGTGAATTACTCAGACACTCTTCACCTACAGGGTATTTGCAAAAATATCTATCAGCTTCAAGGAGGAATCCATCGATACATGGAAGAGTTTCCAGATGGACTGTTCAGGGGGAAGCTGTTTGTGTTTGACAACCGTTATACAGTCAAGAGCAATGACGATGTAATTGCAGGTATGTGTGGACAGCAATTCTTTTTCTGATTGGCTGGACACCTCTAAAGTCATGCATTGTATTTCTAGTTTTTGATTAGGTTTGGTTGACAGGATTCATTTCATACATAAAATATTCGACAGTTGGTAATTAGCCCGTGAATACGATCGACCATTCGGAATTTATGTAATCTTGTGAATAATATAGGTTATTAGTTCAAAGCTGGATTTTATGCACTGAGTAAAACAGATTTTTTTTTTTTACATACTTTTCAAGAATCTATGAAAAACTGATTGTTTTTCCAACTTTCTCCGAGATTGCAGCAAGAAAGCTAAATCTAGTAAACCTGTTAGCTCATCAACACAAAATCCTCTTTGGCTAGAGTATTTTGAAGCTCTCTAGCAGTATGTCAGTGCTACGTATGCATCTATAAAAAATATATGCTCACCATATACCTTGTTCATTTACAGATTGTACGTATTGTGGTAGACCCTGGGACAAGTACTCCCCATGCTCCAGCATACACTGCCATCAGTTGGTGCTCTCCTGTGACAGGTGCCGCCAGGAACATCACCTCACTGCATGCTGTAATGAGTGCCAAGCAAAGGGCGATGCTGGGGAGGAGACGGAGCAATGCAGCTGCACTAGGAGAAGGACGAGAATCCCCAGAGAATTGTGACATGCGGCGTTAGATAAGCAATTTTATAGTACAGTATCTTGAGAGCAGAAGAATGCCATGACCGATTTCAAATTTTATTTACACTAATTTAACGTAATGTAAATGAAATACATGTATATGACGAGTACAATGAATGTCCTTTCCAAACCAGTTATCTTGCTGATCATGTCACTGTTCCTTATTATACAAGTTAAGTGTGTAAGTCACTGTGTACTTGATTTCAATTAATTAGTCGTCAGATTTTCCTGTAACTAAGGAGGCATGTCCAATAAGAATAGAGAAACATGAATCTAGCCTACACCATAATTTTCAATAAAATAGATTTACTCTATTGCTTTCACTTTATGCCAGCAATCGTACATAAGTGCATTTTGTCAGAATTCTGCTATCTGGATTAGATCATGCTTTTCACTATTTGAATTATAAAAGTAAAGTATGTATCATTAAAATGTTTGGTGTTATGCAGTTTCTATAACTCAGTACATCAAGATAAACCAGACATCCTTATTTCTTATATATTTCATTTGCATATGTTTAATAAAAAAAACCAAGTTACAACCTAAAAGCTCATATCAAAATCACCGTTTCATTAGTTGCTTCACCGGTTAGGCGAGTAGTATTTATAGCGCAGTATATTAACATTAGGCATTTAGTTATAAAATAACATAACATATGTTAATGACATGTTATGTAGGTTGTAGGTTAATACCTAGCTCTACCAGTGTAGCTAGTTACTACCCTAACAATCGAGTGATAGTCAAAAAATTATTAACTTAAACTTCTTTCTTAACGTCAGTGAAACAAGTGCCGCAGAGCAACAGCGCTCAACTGACATGTACTGTAGCCGGGTATTCTTCTGATAAACTCACTGGCAACCGAATCAAGTGCGCCCTCCCACCACCGCATTCGCGCATTGACCCTTGACCCCCAAATTCGACATCCCGAGTCCTTTTCGCGATCCACCCCCGACGTCCCGAATATCAAGACCGTACGTCGAGCGGTTAAGATTTCAGGGGGACTAGATTTTAGAAATTTGAATACGGGACAGGAAACGATGCGAGGGAGCTGAGCGACAGAGCAGGGGAGGGTTTGGGTAAGAACTGTTTTTGAATTGGGGGTGCAAATCATGCAATTTAGCACACTTTAAAGTGATTTTTTTTTATCCTTTCATTGTACTGCAGAAAAGGACAAATTACTCTTCATTAAATAGAAAACAACAATGAAGTTTTGTAACTGCCACTCTGGCCTGTACTTGCATTCACGTTTCACCTTTTTGTTAGGATCCGTGACTTTTGAAGCCATCATGAAACTTTATGAAAGTTCACCGAGTTTAAAATTGAAAATATCCAAAAACACCAACGTCACCATAAACTGGAGCTGTAAGAATGCAGGCGCAATATTTGCAAGCGCCAGCATGAATGTGATGTGTATACATTGCATCAAGTGAACCAGACAATGCGTCTAGACAATACGCCTGTCTGCAGTATATGTAAAATAAACGCGAGCAATGAGAGTTTCGAAGGCAAACAATTGTTAAAATTACTATCCAAAAAATGGGATACCAGATCTTTGGGGGGGGGGGATACAGCTGTATCTGACTTCGTCAGCTGAGCTAAAAATAGAAACGTTCTCAATTATCATTTATGAAACGAACTCAAATATATTTTTCTCATACACTAGATACCAAGCTTTAAACCCGCTACAGAAAAAACAACTTGCCAATCGTTAAATCGACACAACATGCTACAATAGATATGCATCAGAAAATGGCAATTGTGCTATAGGTTTGTCTCGTGGCTGGCCACTATCATGAACATGTGTTTTCATGCCAAACATCAAATATCAGGTTTTTAGTATTTAATGTCTATGCATAATGCCTATACAAGGTGTTAATGCATCATTAATTTTACAACACATACACAGGTATCCTTCAGAGCGGGATGAAATTTGAAAGAACAAAACGCCCTGCTAGAGGGACACACTTGATATTCTGGTATTCATATAAAAAAATATTAAAAGGACCTATCCTACTTTCACAACACATTGGCTAGACGTTATGGGCAACACACTATTGTTACAATGAAAATAATATTCAATAAATTATAATATACCAAATATATAATCACTCATTTTACAATTAACAAAAATTTCTCATTAAAGTACTCATCGATAATGATAACAATTTGTAAACCTAGACACAGCCATTTCGAGCGACAACTCGGCTTAACTTGATCATTATTAGGGTTCACATACCTATAAGGAAAACGTTTTTCTAACAGTCTTCCAGGACTTAACAAATCCATTTTACGTTCCATGACTAATACAATGTCTGTTTTTATATCCTGAAATCAATTATTACGTCAATAAACCCCTTGCATGAAGCAAGTTTTGTAGCCTCCTAATTTCAAGAATTTTTCTGAACAAAACAATGATGGCCAATTTTAAGACTTCCACATCCAATTTTCCTAGACGGTTAAGATTTGGACATACCATGTTAAACTTGTTGGACTTCCCAGGTATTCTAGGACCCTTTACAAACTCTGTCTTTGCAAATACTATTACATGCTCATTACACTTAAATACTTATAAAACTATTTATATACAATTTTGTTGTTTACTTGATTCAACAAGTTATCTATATAACATCATACTGCGAAGCGTGCATGGTGTCCACTAACATGGATTACAACTTACAAGTCACAAACCCTTGCTACATCACACAGCTCACTTGATATGCATAGTAGTGCTGAGAGGGTCTATGTCCCCCAGGGTACTGCCGGAACGTACCCTGGGTACGGTCCGGTATATCGGAACGTACCTTGGGTACGGTCCGGTATATCGGAACGTACCCTGGTACCAGAGCATATAATCAACGTGATTTATATGCTCTGCTGGTACTATCTAATATACCGGACCGTACCTCGCCTACTCCACTAACGAGTGTAGGGAGTCGCCTACGCCTACTCCCTAACCCTTACCCTGACCATATCAGATAGTTACCAGGATACGTTCCGGTATACCGGACCGTACCCAGGGTACGTTCCGGCAGTACCCTGGGGGACATAGACCCTATGAGCCATAGTAGTAACCTGCACACGGTGATGATGCAGATAATTAGTGGAGAAGATATCACAATTTGGAAGTTTTTCCAGTTTTTCGTTCCTAGTTTTCCTTATTTACATAACAACACAATCCTTCTTGGAGTTGGTACCTTGCGTGGCCTCTTGTTCTGGTACAGTGTGGTGTTCAGCAGGTGCCATTGTAGGAGGTGTCACTACCTTGTACTTTGACTCCACTTTAGTGACAACAGTTGCTGATTCAGGAATTGCAACTTGTGGAGGCTGCATAAGCAGAACACACGTAAGTGGGGTTTCTAGTCTCATTTTCAAAATCGTCAACGTCGACTAAAAAAATGTCTGTTAACAACAATATATTGTTTTACACCATACATTATCTAATAAGAATAATGTATTTTCAAATTCTAGGCCAATGTTCCTCTTTAAATTTATTCCTATCAGCTATAAATCAGCTAGTGTGGAAATTCTTTTTAAATCGTCAACAGATTCTGGCATCATATGGTATAGAAATTATTAGCGGTCATGACAATCCTACTCTTTTATAATGCTACTTCCTTTATTTGGTAGACACATATGATTTGATGGAACCTTTGATCATACCAATGATAAATAATATTCAATGAGAATCGCTTTTCTAACTAATCATACTAAACAGTCAGGGCCGTAGTGTCCGCCACGACAGCACGGCACTGCCGTGGCACTATTTTGACAAAAAAGATTGTGCAGGGAACCAAGGCGCTGACTGTTATCTGACTGGACTGTCTGGTATTACTATTAATACGGATCAATTAGAGGTGTTATATCAGTGCTCTAAGATTTGGAATGTGTATTTAATATGACAATGTGCCTATATATAAGGTATTCTGATTCAAATTCAAACTTCAAAACATACAGATGTACATAGTGAGAGTATAAATGCAGATTGAAAATAGGCTTATTTTTCATAATTATGTACTGATACTGATAGTATCAGGAGTTAATGAGACAAATTTTTGTCTCATTAACTCCTGATAGTATATACAATTTTGTAAACAATGTTTTATTAGTTATCATACTAACTCATAATATATATTTTAGATCTATACTTTAGCCAAAACATCAGCTTTAGCTACATTCCTTTTTGAAATTTACAAATTGACCTTTTACAATGATCAGAATTGGTTGCTTTCAACATAGCCTGAAAATGCAGGAAATGCCATTTCCAGGCTCTAAATTTCAAAAATTAGACCCCCGAGGTATCAGATGATCTCAGACCCCCCGCATTGGCCTTCGCGACTGCGGCGTTCGCCGTGCGTGCAGGCACACACCATAACAGCCACTTATAGTATTATTACTGGGTGATCCTACATTTTTCTGCAGTAGCACATTTTGGGAGGCCACTACAGCCCTGAAACAGTGCTCATGTAAAATTATAAATATACTCACTGCACTGGCTCTTTTTGCAAGATAAAGGTCTTTTTCGCTCTCCTTTAGATTGTACTTCTCTCTGATCTGGTTTCTCATCTGAGCTCTAACTGACTGCCTTTTATTTCTTTCCTCCTCTTTCTTTAATCTGGAATAAGGTATAGTGTATAATTATGAAACTAGCAACTGACCTTTTGATCAGCATATGCTACTACCTGCATAATGACCATGTCTGATATGCTAAAAACACTTTAGTGTAAAACATTCAAATAAATTATAAATCAATACTGTGAATAATAGCTGATTCTAAACCAATGTATATAAAAGTCATTTAGATATAATATAGTCAATATATTTACAATTTCATGTCATGTAGGAAATATTGCTTCATACTCACCTGTATTTAACCTTGGCCTGTCACGCATGAAAGCAATAATTTTTAATATTACACACATTTCCACATCGCCAGTTGGAAACATAAATGACATATTTCCTTTAGGTTTATAAGATATTTATATTGCTTGTCTAAATTTTGCTTTTAAATTTAAATAAATTATTTTTTGTTATAAATCCAAATCACTAGTAACAGATCTATGCCTGTTAAGTGTTATAGCTAAAGACATCAATTTTGTACCTCATTTCCTCTAATTTCCTCTGTTCTTCTAGTTTTTGCTTCTCCAGTTTTTTCTTCTCCTTTCTTGACATAGGTTCCTCTTCGTCTGCTTCCTTACTCATTATAGAACTATCATCTTTATGATTATCCATGCCCAGAACATTATTCAACTGGGAAACTTTTCCTGCAAACTGAGCAGTTTTTCCAAACATTCCGATCGCCTCCATTGTGAATGTGCTTCCTTGTTGCACTTTGACTCTTGATTACGCTGGGTATGATGGCCTAAAACCTTTATCATCCAATGAAAAACCCTACAAAAGAGAATATTTAAAATGATAATTGAATATAAAATGCAAATCAATTTAATATGCAACACAGGCAGTTACACACCATATGTAACAAAACAGGTATCATCGAAGTTAGATAATTTAAACTAGACCATTACTGTAGCAGGGTGCGAAATTAACGAGAGTCTGGAGTCAATTTATACTCCTTGATTTACTGTCGGACTCCATGATTTGACATATGCAGGAGTCCGTGTGACTCCCTGAAAATTCTGCTATACTAACTAATTCGTTCCAGAGCGCAGCCTCGCGGAATTACCATATTTTTTTTTAGGAAATGACCCAAGAAAATTTGGCAAACGTGCACCGCAAATGTCCTTTTTGTTACGATACTATCTGCGGTATTACTTGTATACTGCGGACTCCCTCATTTTGCTGCGATGGTAGAAAATTATGAAAAATTGCTCTAAAAAGCTGCTTGTCTGGCGGACAAGCTACCTGACAGATCTACTTGTCCTCCGTGGAAATGGACAAGTACG